ACTGATGGCAAATATAGGCGGTCCAAGTCAACACTACGCGCCAACGGCACCAGAGCGCCGCTCACCGGCTTTAACGAAGAACGGCCCACCAGTTCCAGTAGAGTGCCGCCACTAGCGTCGACAGAATGCCGCCACCACCGCTAGCGACACGTCCGCCCAGACTGCGGCAGAGCAACAGCAAAGTCACGCCACCACGACATAACGGACCGGTAACGGGACACGGAAACCGTTACCCACCACTGCAAGTGACGCTACCGATATTTCCAATTTTGATATGTTTGATAGTAAGTAAGAGAATAATCTAATAAAGTACGATTTACCGGAGCTCCGAAACTATAAATTTATTGTAACGGACCCTGGACACGGCGAGTATACCCCAGCGTTATAGAAGAAGCGTCGGGACTGCAAAAACGTTTCGTTACAATGGATTCTGGAGCGCTACATTTACACCTAAAGTACATTTACAAAAGTGGTTTCTGAAGTACATATCAAACTTTCTGATGTACATTTTACGGTGTCTGAAGTACAATTTACGAATTTGAAGTACATTTTATGGTTTCTGAAGTACAATTGACTAATCTGAAATCCAATTAACGGGTTCTGAAGTACATTCGACTAATCCGAAGTACATTTTATGGTTTCTGTAGTACAATTGATTAATCTGAAGTACAATTTTCGGGTTTCTGAAGTACAATTGATTAATCTGAAGTATATTTTACGGTTTCTGAAGTACAAATGAGTAATCTGAAGTCCAATTAATGGTTTCAGAAGTGCGTTTGATTAATCTGAAGTATATTTGATTATTTATGAAATATAGTTGACGCTTTCTGAAGTACTATTAGACGCGGAATTCTGATCAAGAGATGCTACCCGAAATAGCAGTTATAACTTCTACCACTTAGACTTTGTTGCTTTTTCCATTTTTCCCATTTCCTTAGGTAGAAACGAAACACTAATCATTTATTACTTTTTATTTTTCTAGGTTGATGACTGTCGACGAACACATAATTATGACGAATTCATATGTACCTTTCTGTCAATGCTAGCTCATCAAGGAGCTCTGGGTGAGTTAGTCTGTCAACACTTGCTACCTTCGAAAAAAATTGGTGGACAATGCGCAAGCCGTTTAAACAAAGGAACATCTCAGGCAGTGACACAACAAAAACAAAAAAACTGCAAACCTTCGAAAAATTCTGGTCGCAGACGAAAAGGCCGAAATAAGTGTAAAAAAAGAAAATGATCCTAAACATTCTGTTATTAATATATGTATGTAATGGGGAAAGTTAAAACGAATCTAAGATTCGAAGAAATGTATTCTTACTTTTTTGACATTATTATATTAGATGCTACACAATTTTCAATGCAACAAACCGCTTTCCAGCTTCATAAATTTTTTCGCAAATTCATTTCAAATATGGACAAAATGTCATAAAGATGTATGTGCAAATTAAATTTAGGTACTGGTTAATTTCAAATCGTTTTTCTCGAAAACTTATTTTCGAATCCTAGGTCCCTTTTAACATTAGGAGTGTACCCGTACGCCCAACTATCTAAAGTTTTAGAAAACTTTTACTGGTTTTGCGTTCTCGTACCCAAAAAACTTGCAAAGTAGGGGAAATTGAAAGAGCAAAATGTGACAGAGAGCTGCAAATTTCTGCTGGAAAAATTTTTCCCAGCTAAAACTTGCAAGGAAGAAAATCTGCTGATCACAAACACATGTTTGTAAATAAACAAAAGAAAATATGGCCTTTTTGAGTTATTTATTGCGAATTTTATTATTAATGCTAGCATACAACGAAAAAGTCAGTAAATTTAATAAGCACAACGTTTGTTGAGTTTATTTTTCGTTGATTTGCTATTAATCTCCACTTTGTTTACTCTAGTGTGTGCTGACTATGGTTGCCGTATGACATTTTTCGTTTGTACCATAATTTTCCTTTAAACATACCAAACTAGATTTAAATGCAGCATGCTGAAATGTTTTTTGCTGAAGTTTTCGGTTTTGGTAGGTAGATTGTTGAAATGAATTTTTATAATTTTAAAGCTACATCTGTAGCTATATCTATTACATTTGTTTTGGATCAATGATGGGTGTTTGGAGGAGATAATTTTGTTTTTGAATGCGTCACCATGTGAAATCCCAAATAATTATGAAAAAATAACTTATTCACTCCGATATAATTAATTTGTATTTAAAAATGTCTTTCTTATCCAAAATTATTCAATTGTACCAAATGCCAAATGGGGGAAAATGTACCAAGCAGAAAATAAATTGCCAAATTAATCACCAGTGGCAACTGTGCAAGTGATCAGCTGTTTCGAAGGTTGCAAGTTTTTGCAAATTTTGCGTTCTCGTACTTCTGTTGATATTTCGTCTCTTTGAGAACGAATGCTGCTAAATTCTCAGAACTTTTGCTGCTGGAGAATTTTGTCCTCTCAATACGAGTACACACCTATTCCCTGTTGCATACATATATAGTTTCAATCAGGATGCCAAGGCGAATTCATATAAGGAGGTATTGATTTTACAAATAAAAAAATGAGATGTATTTCGTTTTTGTTTTGACAATCACGCACCGTTCACAGCTGATGAAACAGCACACCCTTATATGAATTAGACTTGCAATGATGCAAAAAAGAAGGAATGTTGTCAGCCATTTCACTGTTAATAAAATTATGGCATTTCATCAAATGCAAGGTACCAGACCAGGGGTAGTTTTTTGGGTAGACAAACAAAAATTTATAAAAATGTACAACAATTGATTACAATGTTTACAAAGAATTAATTGTGAAAATTTATATAAAGAAAAAAGTGGGCATACATTTTCCAAATTTTGAAACTCCAATGTTTAATTGAAATCGATCTAGAGTGAAGTTTTTACCTTTCCCAAACTTTCGTTTATTAGGAAAATAGGTAATTTTCAGAGTTTGAAATTGCTTCACTATTTTCAATACTTTTACTATTGCTTAGCTGCGGCTGATGAAAAATAAATCAACGAAAGCAGACAGCAAAAGCCAAAAGGGACATGAAATCATTTGCTTTTGTTTACAGCGCAATTTGTTTATGCTTAAAGAGTCAGCCGAAGCAACAAATTTAGAAAAGATGTGTTGCAGCAAGCAGTAAGTTTGTTGTATTCCCATTTTTTGCTTTTTTCCTTTCAGCGTTATTCTCCATACCCTATAAACATTTTGGCGAACGTTCGAAAATGGCCTTCGATATCCAATATGCATATCGAACTAAAAACGAACTCATAACCAACCTTAGTTTTCCAACGTTCATAGTATATTGGAAATACACTCGATAAAACCATAGCAACAAGAGCGAAAGTGAAATCTAGCTCATTCTCGAAAGGAAATATTAGAAAATCACTCTCTCTCATGAAAATTTCAATTCGATAATGGGCTGGATTTCGAATTCTTAACGAAGGAAAAATACATTGGATAACGAGGGTTCTCGAATCGAATACTAACCTATTCCAAATTAGTTATCGAAGGTGAGACTGGAAAAAAAGATTTGTTTTCCAATCATTTTCGAATTGTTAACCAATCCCAATGTTTATTGGGTATGTACGCTCATGCTTCATCTGTATATCAACGAAGTACGCTTGCTTCTTTCATACATATGTTAATTAGACTGCATCACTCCCCATACAAAAAAAAAAAAATCGGTACGGTTTTTCCACTGGAATTATAAAATCTATTATATTTTAAGACTTTCACCAATATATCCCGCAAAAACATTAAGATTTATATATGTCAGCTGGACCGATTTGAAAATGCTTCCAAAAATTGAGCTTTTTATTAATTAAAACATTTTTTTTTTTAATATTTTTTGAAAAAAGTTAGCTCAGATGACTAAACAGTTTAAGCTTAAAAAATTTGCATAAAAATATTAAAAAAAAAACATGTCTACGGAATCATAATAATGAGATTTTCGACTGGTTTAAAAAAAAACTTTAATAACTCAGCCACAACCTTACCAATTTGGACTTATGAGGTACCATTGGTAAGGTATTTTCTCAGCCTTTTAATTTCTTTGCGAATAAGCTCATTCAAAATATGAAAGAAGAAGGTAAGATAAACGAGTGTCATTCCATGATGAATTAAGATGTGTTGGTATTTGATAAAGAAAAAATTGGGACGCGAATGAGTCTTTTTGCAAAGAAATAAAAAGGGCTCACCCTCACTGATACCAGTGGAGCAGTTATTCAAGTTTTTCTTACACAAATATTTGAAAAAAGTTAAAAAAACGGCATCGAAAATCTCTATTTTATGATTCCGTTGATACAAATTTTTAATATTTTTATTTAGATTTTTTAAGCTTAAACTGTTTTGTCATTTGAGGGAATTTTTTCCGAAAAATTCTTTAATAAACTATTTTTATTCCTAAAAAAACTAAATTTTTAGTAGTATTTTCAAACCGAAATATTGTGGCGGACGTCTTAAAATATTATAAATTTTGTAATCCTGGCGGAAAACCGCACCTTTTTTTGGTGATGCAGTCTAATATACATACATACAAATATACATATGTATGCACGCTGCATAGGCCCTAGGGAGCTGCAACAGCAATTTTTCTTATTAGGTTTCATTTTCAGGATATGACTTGATGAAATCATTGAGAGTTAGGCAGTCTGCACACGGGTCNACTATCTGTCAACCCTAAGATATCTCACTTGTATTCTTCCACAATGATTCAAAGTCGCTTCAGGTGCAGGTCCTGAGGCGTAGAGGAATCGTCGAATTTTGAGGTCAGGTTTCATTTGGAGGATATGATTGAATTGATCAAAACATGGAGAGTTAAAGTTCGGTTGGAGAATACCTCGAACNCATTGAGAGTTAGGCAGTCTGCACACGGGTTGTGTGGCTTTAGACGCGTATTAGATGCTACATACGAAAGTGATACGCTTTGATGCCGCACACGTGCATTTAAAAGGAGAGCTGCATACGAGTCGTCAGCTTCACGAATTCGTCAAAGCAAGCTAGACGCAAATCGCTTGGCGTACAGCAGTGTTTTTAGCTAAACGTGCGTACGCTCAGAAAAGAGGAAGAAGTTTGTTTACAATTTTCCGTGAACGTGCATGCATTTCATTGACAAAAAAGCATAAAACAATAAAATTCGTACAAATGATTGAAAAATAACTGAAAATTAATTTTAAAAATAATAATTTTTTATCACTTGACAATTCTGCGCCTGATACTTTGACGATTTAAAGTCGCTTCAGGTGCAGGTCCTGAGGCGTAGAGGAATCGTCGAATTTTGAGGTTAGGTTTCATTTGGAGGATATGATTGAATTGATCAAAACATGGAGAGTTAAAGTTCGGTTGGAGAATACCTCGAACTTCGAGGGGTGAGTCCCTTAACTTTGCGAATTTAAAGGATGTGGAGTAAAGCTGCGAAAGTACAGATTTTCGCCGTTCTCGATACTTTCGATATTTAAGAGAAAAAAACTTGATACATCAATATGTAACGTTAAATTTTTTATTCTAAATGAAGCAAAATAAATGGCGGCCGCTGTAGTGTAGTGGTACGCAGTGCGCGCTTCCATTCCGCAGCACCTGGGTTCAAACCCTGTTCAAAGCAACATCGCAAAAAAATTAAAAAAAAGGTTTTTTCTTAAAAGCGGTCGCCCTCGGCAAGCAATGGCAAACCTCCGAGTGTATTTCTGCCATGAAAAACAGCTTCTCATTAAAATACAGTCGCCGTTCGGAGTCGGCGTAAAACTGTAGGTCTCTCCTCTTTGTGCAACAACATTAAGGCCCACGCCACAAATCGGAGGAGAAGCTCGGCCAAACACTAGCATATGTGTAAGCGCCAATTTATTATTATTATTAAATGAAGCACTAAAAAAACATACTCTTTCAACAGTGACCCACACTCAAAATCACACAGTGATATTATTACGATATTCGCAATGTTTTTTCGTTCTGATTTTTTTCCGTCAAAAAATCAACAAACTCATAAAAATTGCGAAATTTTTAATTAGACTCGATGTCGCTAAGAAATTCCGCTGACTTCTGATCATATTTTGTTGTTTTCTGGCAAAATATTTTTTATTTTAACTTTTATTTCAACGTAGATTGATTACTGATTACTGATAAAAATAAAATATTTCACACAAACAGGGTTGAAATTTTGAAATTCCTGCCCGTATTTTGTTTGTGTGTCAAATATTAGTGGCATTGTGCTATTATGATTGCACGGCCGTGTAATCATAGTCAACTTATGTACAGTAGTCGAAAAAATTATAGCCTCAGCAAATTTTGAC